AAGATGTGAAGAGACTCATTTTCAAAGCCATGGCTTTCATTGTTTGATGACGGACAAAAAGAAGGCTTGTCCACGTTCCGTTGTACATGAAGTTGCTGGAGCACAACCATTGAGAGCTGTCAAATGATTGTGCCACAAACACCGAACACCTCCGTTCTTATTATGGAAAGCGGAGTCATTAAAATGTAAATCTGCAGGGCACTGTTATTTTGCCTTAAATTACAGGAGACAGGTTTTCCCAGTTCTTTATTCATCCAGTCTTTAAGTGTTACCACCTATAATTATATGTTCACTATAAAGATGTTGCTCTGAGCTTGTTGCCTCCTGTCCCTCATAACTGCACACAAGGCTGGATTTACCTTTTAGGTCTGGGATAGCCTACTTACATTACCTTCAACTAAGATCAAATTTAGGTTTCTTTGTTGCTCATTACATTTCTTAAACACCTCGTCTTCCAACTGCGGTCAACTCAGGAGACACTTAAATTGTAGTGCACATATACGCTGAAACTTACGGTAAACGCAACCAAACGGCACAGATCGGGAGCGAGCGAAGAACTTTGCAAAGTTAGCGGAAAGATTAACGTGAGACAACTTCCGGTTTTCTACAGACGAACATCCGGTTTTCAGAATAAGATGCCTGCCAACAAAGTATACATATTGCATAATGAAATGAGATTAAATGAATTATATTCACATTAAGTATAAAACATGCTACCTGCATCTCCTGAGTTAAAGGGAAAATACACCTAAATTGTGCGTAAAGTGTCTTTATTCTTTGATTTGAGGGTTGCTGGAAGCTAATAATACCTGGCTGACGGTCAATTAAGATATTTTACGAAGCAAAAACTCTGAACTGAATTTGTATCTTCAAATGGCACATTTTTTAAATGTTTAAGGTGCTATAAAAATGTTTATCTCAATAATTCCACACAACGACTAATGCATATATGTTCAGGACAAAAATGGGTAATATCACAATATTTAAGGTGCTACAAAAATATTTTTCTCAATAATTCCAGACAATGACTGACATGTATGTGTTGGGGACATCGTTGACTCCACCCATACTGAATATTAGACATTTTTACTGTCCTAATTAAGAGATATTTCAAATTAAAACTCATACATTTGAATTGAGAAAATATCTAATAAATGGATATTTGAAGTGTAATAAAAAGTATTTTCTCAATAAGTCCAGACGATGACTGATATGCATGTGTTGAGGACGTCGTTGACTCCACCCATACTGAATATTAGACATTTTTACTGTCTTAATTAAGAGATATTTCAAATTAAAAGTCATACATTTGTACCCAGAAAAGGGTACATTTCTGAATATTTGAGGTGCTATAAAAACTATTTTCTCAATAATTCCACACAATGACTAATGCATATAAGTTGAGGAAATCTCTGACCACACATATACAGAAAATGAAAAATCTTTACTGTGGTAATGAAGAGATTTTTTTAAAGTAAATGTCCATTAAATTAATGGACATAAATTAATTTGTTCCAAGAAATATCCAATAACTGAATATTTGAGGTGTTATAAAAAGAGTTTTCTTTATAATTCCAGACAATGACTAGTGCATATGTGTTCATGACATCTCTAACTATACTAATACTGAGAATCAAATATTTTTACTTTCCCAATTAAGAGATTTTCCAAAATATAAGTCCTTCTTTTGAACGTTCAAAAAGTTCATTTCTTAATATTTAAGGTGCTATAAAAAGGGTTTTCTTAATAATTCCAGATAATGACTGATGCCTATCTGTTCAAGACATCTTTGACTCCACCCATACTGAAAATTAAACAATTTTATTGTACCAATTAAGAGATATTTAAAAGTAAATGTCATACATTTGTACCGAGGAACAGGTAATTTCTGAATATTTGAAGTGTTATAAAAAGTATTCCCTCAACAATTCCAAACAATGATTGATGTATACAGGTGCATCTCAATGAATTAGAATATCATCGAAAGTGTGATATATTTCAAGTGTTTATTTCTTTTAATTTTGATGATTATGGCTTACAGCTAATAAAAACCCAAAATTCCGTATCTCAGAAAATTAGATATTACATAAGACCAATTAAAAAAAGGATTTTTAATACAGAAATGTTGGCCTACTGAAAAGTATGTCCATATACAGTATACAGTATGCACTCAACACTTGGTCGGGGCTCCTTTTACATGAATTACTGCATCAATGCGGCGTGGCACAGAGGCGATGAGACTGTGGCCCTGCTGAGGTGTTATGGAAGCCCAGGTTGCTTTGATAGGGGCCTTCAGCTCGTCTGCATTGTTGGGTCTGATGTCTCTCATCTTCCTCTTGACAATACCCCATAGACTCTCTCTGAGGTTTAGGACAGGCGAGTTTGCTGGCCAATCAAGCACAGTGATACCGTGGTCATTAAACCAGGTATTGGTGCTTTTGGCAGTGTGGGCAGGTGCCAAGTCCTGCTGGAAAATGAAATCAGCATCTCCATAAAGCTCGTCAGCAGAGGGAAGCATGAAGTGCTCTAAAATGTCCTGGTAGAAGGCTGCACTGACTTTGGACTTGATAAAACACAGTGGACCAACACCAGCAGATGACATGGCTCCCCAAATCATCACTGACTGTGGAAACTTCACACTGGACCTCAAGACACTTGGATTGTGTGCCTCTCCACTCTGCCTCCAGACTCTGGACCTTCATTTCCAAATGAAATGCAAAATTGACTTTCATCTGAAAAGAGGACTTTGGACCACTGAGCAACAGTCCTTTTTCTCCTTAGTCCAGGTAACTTAGCTCAGGCAACTTAGCCCAGGTAAGACACTTCTTACGTCTCTGGTTCAGGAGTAGCTTGACACAAGGAATGCAACAGTTGTAGCCCATGTCCTGGATACGTCTGTGTGTGGTGGCTCTTGAAGCACTGACTCCAGCCGCAGTTCACTCCTTGTGATTCTCAACCAAATTCTTGAATGACCTAAACCCCAGAGAGAGTCTATGGGGTATTGTCAAGAGGAAGATGAGACATCAGACCCAACAATGCAGACGAGCTGAAGGCCCCTATCAAAGCAACCTGGGCTTCCATAACACCTCAGCAGGGCCACAGTCTCATCGCCTCTGTGCCACGCCGCATTGATGCAGTAATTCATGTAAAAGGAGCCCCGACCAAGTGTTGAGTGCATACTTTATATGGACATACTTTTCAGTAGGCCAACATTTCTGTATTAAAAATCCTTTTTTTAATTGATCTTATGTAATATTCTAATTTTGTGAGATACTGAATTTGGGATTTTCATTAGCTGTACGCCATAATCATCAAAATGAAAAGAAATAAATGCATGAAATATATCACCTTGTGTGTAATGAATGAATATAATATATGGGTTTCACTTTTTGAATTGAATTACTGAAATAAATTAACTTTTCGATGATATTCTAATTCATTGAGATGCACCTGTAGTTATCTCTTACTTTATTTGCTTGTGTGTGTTGAATTTGAGAGCCTCTGTGTTGCATGTCTTGTTAGTACTTGACAATGTTTAAGAATCTCCTGAATGATGATACTACGTATATTAATATTCTCACTTTTTTCATTATTTGTGCACGCATTGTAAAGCGTCAATATTGTATAACCTTTTAAATGTAATCTTACATTCTGTTTTTAGGTTTATTTTGTAACATCTGCCTCTTGGCTAACTCTGGCGCATTTACAGAAATGTTTTTATTAGTGTGCACTGTCCCTTATCAAATAAACCAATAAAATAAAATAAATAAATAAACTAGTGCAATTGTGAACCTATGTTTTGTATTGTGTATTTGTCTTGAATAAAAATATAATACCACATACATCAAGATAAGAGCCATCATAAGTAGTTCACTCATTTCATCTTCAACAAAGGATATACACATATATTGTCATGCTGTAACAACATTGTCAAAAAGGAAAAATAAATGTGGCAAACGCATTAGGTATCGAAAGATGTCTTTCCCCATCGTGGTTTGCATTGGAGACTGACAAACTGAAAGATCACTGCAGGTAGAACTTAATTGAAAGGTCCTCCTGATTGGTTAGTGACCTAGTCACCCTAGGCATCTATCATTTGATTGGTTGAGGGGCAGATGCCATGAGGCAGCCATGAGCTGATTTATAAATAACCATCTACAAGTCTGGTGAAACTAAAATAACAGTTGTAGTACTACAGGAAGGAGCTCATTGATAGATGAAGTGATTTTGGTCATGCTACACTTATCAACAGTAAAGCTATTGATTATTATTTTCAATAAATATTCACTAAAAATGATCAAAATCATTTTTTTTCAAAATAGCAGTTGTAGTACAACAAAGAGGAGCCCATTGATGTGTGAAGTGATTTTGGTTACACTACATTGCATGACAGTGAAGCTATTGAATATTGTTGTAGTAGGTATTTTCCGCATTGCACTTTGTAGACGGTCCCTGCGCACTCGTCTCGCAGCCGGCCGCTCATTGAGACCAATGCAGATTGTCCAGCTCGGAGGAGTTCGTAAGACGGCCCGTTTTAATTAAATTAAGGTTGTAGCTTGTTGTCTACCTCACTACGGTTACAGGGAGGTATCGTTTGTATTTTAGCAACGTTTCGTTAACGATTTATTGAACCGGGAAGTCCGAATCTGTCAATATCTTTCTAACTTTAGCTATCTATGACAAAGCAACGTAATCACCAGTCGACGGTATGAAACTTGTAAACAAATAGTGACGTCAATAAAATGCGCTGCCAAGCTTTGAATACGGCTTGGTAACGGAGGAAAAGCCGCGGTTTCGGGCTGTGGAATTAATTATGTCCTCAGGACGTTTTGAGGCATGCCTCTGCATTTTTACTATTTTTCCGTAGTTCTTTGTGAAAAGTGACATTCTACTCCTCCCCTCCCATCGGTTGTCATCGTCAATCCGAGCGGCGACAAAAGAAGGATATCAACTAACGACAGCCTCGAGAGAATGAACGCTTGACGGACAACCGCGTTGCTAACGTTAGCTAGCTATACAATTAGCTATTCGTTTCACTTGACAGTTTTTGAGATCGGAAACATGACAACTTTAACCAGGCAAGATCTCAATTTCGGACAAGGTGAGTCAACCACACAAACCAACGGCACGACACAGCCAGTCATCCGTCCTTAGTAGTTTATAGCCCCAATTCTGTTAAACGTTGCTTTGACAAAATTCAGTTGATAAATATTTGGCAATTAAATCTGATTTAGACAAACTGGGAATTCTGGGTACATGCTGTCGTATTACAGGTACATGCTGTCATATTACAGGTACAGGCTGTCGTATTACAGGTACACGCTGTCGTATTA